AGCCACAACCATCAGCTGATAGGGGTTCTAATACATCATCAATGGTGTACAGCGATTCCGGAGAATTTTCATCATCTGGCTGCAGCCCTGATCAAGCATCTTTGGAGCAGAGGAAGGGAGCCCTGCAAATAAGCCAAATTGGCAGAGTCCACCCCCCCCCTTTCTGGTTATCCCGGGTTTATTATCTGCTGGTCATCTGGCACAGGGAACTCACAGGCTCTGCAGGAACTCACCTGCGGATCTTCCTGGCTGGCTGATTGAACCATGTAGCCACTCGTCTTTGCCAGTCTTTGTGGAAGTGAGGCTTTAAGATCATGCCATTCCGGCTGGGCGCCATGGCTGCTTATACCCCTGAAAACAAATGTACAGGGCTTTTAACGCAGCAATAGATCTTCACAGCACAACCCCCCCTCCCCAAATAGGTTAGGAAGAGATGCAGTGGCATACCTGCCTAGCAAGGATTCAAAATTCTCTTCCATACCCAACACATATTTACCCAGAGGAAACCCAGCATTTTGGGCTCCTTCTGGTCAAGGCTGGGGAAGTCATAAGAAAATCCCTTTAACATGGAATCCACAAAATATGCCCTTCAGAAGTTAAAGAGAGCATTTCACTAAGAAACCAGGCTTTACTTCTTACATCAACAATTTATTTTAGTACAATTAACATCTGGAGATTCCCAGATTATTAAACCCTGACGGGACACACATTTTTATTTTAACTGATAATGCTGTTAATAGTTGTTCTATATTAGTAAGAACATACAACACATCAGTTTTGGCCATTTAGATGTAATATACACTGTCACTTTGGATTCCAGACCCATGAGCCATTAAAAAATCACTTTGCTTTGCTATTTATTCTTGATTTAAATCTCCGTGGTACTGCATAATTTACAACAGGAACACACTTGCAAGCTTTGATTTTGTGTTTATCACAGAAGTGATTCTTCTTTCTACTATTTCAAGAAGTATATAAGCCAATGCCTTTAAAAAGGAACTGCTCTTTCACAGTAAGCTCCTCCATAACAATAATCTGATTTTCAATTAACACAAAGGTAAAAAAGTTGCACTTCTGATCTCAACCTAAAACCACGACCCTTTATCAGGCAACAAAATTAAGAGTCCAGAGTGGCACTTTTAAGACCATTCTTCAGATACATTGGAATGGAAGGTAGAGGTCACATTTATAGACAGAGGCTGAACAGCAAATTAACATGTAACACAATGAAGATGTTTTAAGACATGCAAAGACAAAACTAAATAACAAGTTAAGGTTATAAGGTATCAGGCAAACTGAGTTAACCTGCTTCTTATGCCTAGAAGACCTGGTGGTGGTGGTGGGGGACTATATGACTGTTGAGGCCACACATTCTCATGGACAGGGGTCTTGCCAGCTGTAGTCTGAAACTGGGCCACCACACTGGGCCACTAGACTCCTACTGACCAAGGTAGTGGAAAATCACCATCACAAGTGCTAAGATTCAGGAGTCATCAGCCTGTCTCTCATCCAGATCTTCCCTCCGGGTGTCGTTCTTGTACTCCCTATTTTACGCCCCACAAATTCCAGAATTCTATTTGGCTCCATCCTAGATTATTATCATTCTCTGACTTTACCAACCAAACAGCATGGCCGTTTATTCATGGTATCCTGCAACTTCAAGCCCATTCTACAAAGTTGCGTAATGCCCCCTTCAGATGCAGATAGAGCACCAAGGACCAGTCATTTAATTTCACAATACCCCCATCTCCCTCACCAAAGTGGAAATAACTTTCGGCTCCAAGAAAAGACTTTGGATTACGGAAGAGAGAAGAGACTGGATTTATACCCTGCCCTTCACTACCTGAAGGAGTCTCAGAGTGGCTTACAAACTCCTTTCCCTTCCCCTCCCCACAACAGACACCCTGTGAGGTAGGCGGGGCTGAGAGAGCTCTTGGCAGAAACTGCTCTTTCAAGGACAGCTCTTATCAGAACTACGGCTTGCCCAGGGTCGCCCAGCAGCTGCAAGTGGAGGAGTGGGGAATCAAACCCGGTTCTCCCAGATTAGAGTCCGCGCACTTAACCACGACACCAAACGTAACACCTCTCCTAGCTGCAAACCAATATGATGTCAGAACAACCAATTAGTATAATGGTGGTTCACAAAGTCTACGAAGTACCATACAGAAAACCTGCGTTACATCAATAAACTAAACTGGTCTTTCCCACAGCAATTTAAATCAGTTTCATGACGTGAAGGGTCTGGATTGATTTTAAGTACTGAAAGCATAATGATCTATATCCATATTGCTCAGCTTTGCTCAGTTCAAGAAGAATAGCCTTTCCCAAGCAGAGAAATGTGCCACGCAAAGCTCTGTCTCCAGTTGACCCTGATGCTGCTGAGTGCAGGAGACAAGAGCTCCCAGGTGCCGCCTCATCCACCAGATGCTCAAACTATGTTTTTAAAAAGCCGCTCTTTCAGAAGATGCCGTTGACATGGTTTAAATGAAGCCTTCTGCCTTGTGAACAGAGACTAATAAAGGCCAGACGCACCAAGAGAATGACCGCTTCAATGCTGGGATCTACTCTCTTCTTCAACAGCTGCTTTCCCCTATATCCAACACCTGGCATCAACTGATACTTCTGCCAGCACAACTGCCCTCCACCAAGAGCCATTGTATTTGCACCAGGTTGTTTGCAAGCGGATTTTGCCATCTCACATAATAAAAACCAGTCGCAAAGTGGACTGAAGGTGCATTATGCAGCATGTGTGAAAACACTCTAGGCCTGGGGGAAGACACAGGTTTAAATCCCCACTTGGCCATGAAGCTCACAGGCCACTGACACGCCGTCTAACCCACTTCATAGAGCGATGGCGAGAATAAAAAGGGGGAAGGTAAACTCTTTGGAGAAAGAGCAAGGTAAACAAAACACCCAGAATTAAGCATTAAGTGGTGCCCTCACTGTCTTACACAGGGCGGAACATGTGAGCCTGAGTCCAGCAGCAGAGCGCCTGCTTTGGACAAACACTGGCCCTTCCTTTTGAATGGGGGGGGGGCACTCTCACGCACTGCAGGTGCCCCTCCACAAGCATTCCACAGACCGGTTTTCTCTGGAGACCCTTGGAACACCCAGCCCGGTACTGCTGGCCGCCGTCTACGCTGACACCGGACTTCTCTGCCCAGCAGGGACCCAGCGTGGCTTACGACAGTGCCTCCTTCTGCAACACAGCCTCACCACCAACAATGCTCCCTCTCAGCCGTGGAGTCTTGTGAGCAAAAATCCTACTCTGTGAGCTCCTAGCATTAAAGTTGTGAGAAGGCGATGTGGCTGCTGCATCAGTTAGTTTGCTCTGGAGCCCTCCTTCCTGAGCGAAGACAAAAGTGTGTGAGCCCGAGATTAAAAAACCGTGAGCTAGCTCACACTAACTCAGCTTCGAGGAAACACTGCCTGCAATGCTCCCTCTCAGCTGTGGAGTCCTTGTGAGCAAAAATCCTACTTCGTGAGCTCCTGGCATTAAAGTTGTGAGCGAGCGATTTGGCTGCTGCATACATGAGTTTGCTCTGGAGCCCCTCCTTCCTGAGCCAAGGCAAAAGTGTGTGAGCTGGAGGCTAAAAGACTGTGAGCTGGCTCACGCTAACTCAGCTTCGAGGGAACACTGACCACCACCACCCTGCGGGGTTAGGCCGAGCGGGCGTGCGACCGGCCCAGGGCGCTTCCACGGCAGGACGGAGGTCTGACTCCGGCTCTCCCAGGCCCGAGCTGCAGGCTCTCTGGCACCCGCAGCTGCTGAACGGCCGCACGGAGACTCCGGCAGGGCCTGCAACAGCCCAGGCCGCAGGCGCTGCCGGCTATCATCATTGCCGCCGTCCAATGGCCCGCCCGCCCCAACGGCGAGGCGCCGGCGGGTCCTCCCGGCCCACTCCGAGCCCTCCCGGCTCCACACAGGCGAGGGATGCAGACGGATAACCGCCCGGCCCCCTGACAGACTCCAACTCACCTCCCGCTGCAGCAAATGGCCGGCCGGAAAAAGAAAGAGGCGCCGCGACGCACGCTGGGATATCCCCGCCCCGGCTCCAGGAAACACCACCGTTCGCCTCTGGCCAATCAGAACGAAGGATCCGCCGCGCAGGCGTCACGGCTTATCGGCGTGCCATGACTAAAGATGGCGCCGTCCTTAAAGGGGCTGCGCGCTACCACGTCCGTTTTGCTACTCAGTTGTCTTGCGGCCAAAACCGCTTAAGGAACGCTGATAGAAATAAGTATTAGCAAGGTGGCCACAACGAGGGGGCGGGGTGCAGGGGAGAATTTTCTCTTCCCCTTTTTATCCAGGCAGCACTTAATTTTATACACTTCCATACTAGGGACATAATTGTATAGCACCATAGCCGGTAAGGTAGAAAGTGGCTCCCCCTAATGAAGCTGAAGGACAGGATGATCAGGATGAAAGGAAATGCTGCTTCACACAACATGTAGCTAGGTAGGGTTGTCGATTGGACTCGGGGTGAGAAATTCCTGGAGATTTCTGCTGAGGGACAACAGAAACTGACAGACCCCTGTTCCATCAGGGGCTGTTAAAGTGGATCATTAAATGGAACCTTCACAAATAAGGGCAGTTCTGACTACCAAATACTGCAGACTAAGAACAGGGTTGTGTTCATGCACTGCTTGGGAGCTTCCGGGAGACATATGTCTTCCAACACAGCTAGCCAGGACATGAGACTAGATGGGCCTTTGGACTGATACAGCAAAACTCTTTCTGATAGGAGTCATGTTGAGTCGTTATGACTAAAATCAAGGCAGGATGGAATATGCATCAAACAGTAACTGGGGGGTGGGGAGCGCAGCAGGAGGAACCCATACTTCCCTGTCTTGAGCCTCTGGGCAACAGAATCCAGGCTAAGATGGAAAGGGTGGCTTCTCCTTATTATGAACTCATAAATTCAACACATCCTGAGACAACAGTAATAAATTCCAAACTTTATTTTCTTGACCATTATCCCAACTTCCAAGATAAACACACACACTGACAGACAGGACCTCTGGCTTCCCCTGCCCCCGGAAGTATCTGAAGACGAGACTGCCATGCAGCTGAGAGATCTGGTGAAAGTCAAGTAACTCCAGAAATGCCTCATGGGTAGATCTGGCTTCCCTTTCGGGGGGGGGGGGGGAATGGCCACAGAGACTCAAGAGCTTGTGATCTTGCTCAAGGTTTCTAGAGAGACTATCCCATGCAGGTTTCTGAACAGACCACTAGGTGGTAGCTACCGATCATGGATGACAATTTGCCAAGGGCCAGTGGGGAAGATGGAGGTGGGGCTCTTTATCAAGAGGGACCCAAACACTTGTTTTATACCTGTAGTTAACATCCTGAGGAGAGGGCCCTAGAATTGCAAGTTAATGTTGCCAGGAGCAAAATATGGAGTAGGTTAATTCTAGGACAAAGACAATCCTCCTGGAAAGAATCCACATTGGTGGGGAGGATGCAAATGGAACTGGCTGATCTCTTTATCTCTCTCACACACCCCCACCCACATTTGCTTAGTGAGGATCAACCCATCCCCCCTTCACTGCCTTCAGCAGCGCAGGACAAACATTTGGCCTAAAAACATCACCCTGCCCTCCAATCAGAACCATCTTCTGCCCAAAGACTTGTAGGCTCTCTCTCTTTCTCAAGGTCTGGGCTTTGCCTTCCCGTAACATCTGTGGCCAGAGGCCTCGCATGGCACTCAAGGCGTTCCAATGACTTGGCAGGAGGTCTGGCGCATGAGAGCTGGCCCCTCCTGCCAGGAGCACAGTCCAGCAACCCACGGACGTCTGGTTTCTTCCAGACATCTTGGAAAGGGCATCTGACACCACACCCATGCCACAGCTCATTCCCAGAGCAAGGAAGAACACACCCTCTACAACCCATCCCAGACATATGAGCAGAGGGGCCCGCACACATTAAGGGGCAAGGGAGGAGAACCTCTCCTAGCGAGCCTGATTCGGGCAGGAAGCTGGTCGGCGCTTTTCCTGCTCCACGCCATGACCTGGCTTCAAACTGGGCTCAGTCTGGGCTCTTCGTCTTCTTCCCCTCGCCTGGGTGGCTGCTGGGGGGGCTCTTCATCCCCCACATCTTGCTTGTCTCTCTCGGCTTCAATCCAGCTCTGAGGGGGGATCATCTTCTTGGCCCCGTGGGGGGGAGGCCCAATTAGGGCTTCAATGTCATCATAATTGATCACTTCCTTTTCCAGGAGGGCGTTGGCTAGCTAAACAGAGAAGAAGAGAAGAGATTGGATTTATACCCCACCCTTCACTACCCAAAGGTGGAAGAAGGTGAGCTCAGGAATGCACATGCATGGGCAAGACCTGAAGAGTGAGGGACCTAAGCGGGTGTGTGTGTGTGACCCTTTGCAGCTCAGTCTCCACTTGGATAAAGCAAGATCCAGCTCACTAGTCAAAAGACCAACTAAGTGCTCTCTGCCACTGACCCAGAGGTATGCACAGGAGTGGGTGGGTTTAGCGGCTGCACAACCTCCCTACCAAAGCTGCTCCAAGCTGCTCTTCTGTGCACATACACCTGAAGGAGCACCCTCAAGCTGCTGCAGCCAGAAGCCAGGACGTACCTACGGACAGCTCTAAGCCAACCCCTCGCTGGTTTCATCTGAAGGGGGAAGAAAAACCCTCCTGCACAGAATGAGCTTTCAGACAAACCCCCTTCTTCCTTCTGGCAGACCCCCGCCAGAATGTCCCTTGTGTCTCTGCAGAGTAGAGATGTAAAATTTCCAGAAATTTTGAAACTCAGAACCCCCCCCCCCCCCCCCCCCAGTTTTTCCCCGTTTTTTTTTGGGGGGGGGGAAATGGAATTTTTTGGAAAAATTGAAAAAAAATGCTACATTAGCACTTGTTTTTTCTTTTCCAGATTGAAAGTCATTCTGTTACTTTAGGAACATAAATTATAACTATGGACATTTTTACCTGGCATGAAATTATCACAACTAGCATATATAGTGTTTGGATATAGTGTATCCAAACAATTATTACAAACAGAATACCCACCCACATGAAAAAACAAAACTGAAACCTTTTTCTTTTCTTGTGACAATAGCACCTCCTAAAGGAAGAAATGCATCTTGTTCTTGCATTGGAGAGTTCAGTTTGTAACCTAGGACTTGCTTGTCCTCAGTGCACAGAAATTAGATTAATCTGATACCATACATATTTTTTAGAAATGATTTGGAAAATATTTGAGCACTTTGTCTTAAAGTATTTTATTCATCATGTTAAAATAAAATGTTCCATAATCATTTTTATTCTTTTCGTTTCTTTTTTCATTTTTTCGGAAAAAAAACAAAAAAGGCTTCAGGAAAAAAACGGGGGAAACCTGTTTCCCCCCCGAATTTTTCCGGGCCTTTACATCTCTACTGCAGAGGACGAATCCTAGCAGCAGTCCAGCCTGTTCTCTTCACCTTTTGAGTGCCAGGTTTCCTCCTGGAATCTCAGAGCTGTTTGTAAGCCTTGCGATTGCACTATGAAGCAGGTTCGTCTAAAAGGAAGGGGCTTCCTCATGGCCCCCCACTGAGTGGGATCAACCCCCCCCCCCCCCCCCCAATTCAAGGCCACGCCACCAGGACAGGTGTGCCAGCAGCATTCAGGCAGGGAAAAGCCATACCATCTTCAGCTTGTCCCGGTTGTCCAGAAGCACTGTCTCTGTGCGCCTGTAGGCTTGGGCCACCAGCAGTTTTGCCTCCTGGAAAGGAAAAGCCAACAGGTAACTCTGGGAACGCATGAAACTAGCAGAGGATTCTGGACTGCAGCTCCTGGCAGTTCCAGTGCAGCAGCTGAGGGATCCGGATGCTAAAGAGAGGAGACCAGTGTTCCCTCCAACCTGAGTTAGTGTGAGCTAGCTCATACTTTTGTAGCCTCCGGCTCACACATTTTTGCCTTACCTCAGGAAGGAGGGCTCCAGAGCAAACTAATTTATGCAGCAGCCAAATCGCTTGCTCACAACGTAGAATTTTTGCTCACAAGACTCCACAGCTTAGAGGGAACACTGGAGGAGACCCTTAGCTAACATTCCCCAACCTTGAGCTGGACACTTCCTGCACAGGGTCATAAACTTTAATATTATAAATGTTTCTTTGGTTGCAAAATAGTCTATAATCTTTTTTTGTTTACTTGCTGGGGGAGGGGGTAATAGTATCTTCTGCATCTCGAGTCCTTTTGTTTGAGTCCATATTATGAGCATTAGATATCTTATTAGTGGGGGGGGGAAAAACAACCTCACAACTTCAAAGTTAACTTTTCAGAATATGACCAACAGCCAAAATGCTAACGTAACCAATGATAGATGTAAAAATCCAAATCTCTTCTTAAAACTTAAAACTTCATCAAACTCAGGCAACCGGCTGTAGGTGGCTCTGATAACAGCTTTAGTGAGTCAGCACTTTAAGATTATCTCGGCTGTAAAAGCTCATAGAAGTTTCAGATGGAGTTCAAAAGCAAGCTCCTTAATGAAAAGCTGCTGCGGACTGCAAGCTACTGACCCCTGTTTGTAATTCCAGTGCAGCGAAACAAATAAAGAGTGAGATAAAGGAATAAAAACAAGTCACTTGCGGAGCCATCTTGCCAGCACCTTCATAAGCTTTAATGTGGGCCGGGCAAAGCCAAAGACTGTTGTGCCAGCTGGGCTACTTTTGTGCTGTACACATCCTAGAGCAGCCGTGGCTTTTTCAGCAGCCCCCCCCCCAACCGATCTAGCAAACAAAGCAACAGGCTCCTCTGTGTGGAACCTCCCCTTGGGAAGGCTGGGAGGGAGACAGGAACTTCTCCGTTCGACCACTTCGAACGCAAGGTGAGAGTTGTAGCACTCCCTGGAACGATGGAAGGACTGAGCTCAGATTCAACTGCTCAACTCTCATGGACTAGGAGTCTTAAAAGCGGTGTTCTGGCACAACACATGTGCAGCCCAAAGATTCAGAAAACATACAGGAAACCTTTGGATGACACCTGGGCAGACACCAGCGCTGCAGGATATGTCTCTTTTCGACAGCTGCATCCTCTCTTGTCCACGAAACTTAACACAGACCCGCTTTCACAAATAAAGTGCTTTGAAGAGTTGTCGCCAACCGTGCAGGACTGGGCTTATTCTTTCCTAGGGTGGCGTGCAACAGGGAAAACTTGGCTCTGGCTTCAGGAGACCAGCTTCTAAGTTCCAATCATCTACCTATCTATTCATCTACCACTGTTTTCATCCCATCCGTCCTCTGAGGAGCTCAAGGGGGCGTACAAAGTTCCCCTCTCTGTCATTTTATCCTCACAACGATATTTATTTACATCATTTCTCAGCTGCCCAACAAGACTCAAAGCAGGTTACGATACTAACGTAAGAACTGAAATAAAAGCAGGGTGAAATCACAGCAAGGACTGAAGACACACCCTAGCCACAACAGAGGCAAAACCATCTGCAAGGAAAGCTTTTCCAGGAACACCTGAGAAGGCCTCCACGAGGCAGCCTGACACTCCCAGGGGAGACCGTGCCATTTAGTGGGAGCCAGCACTGAAAAGGTTCCGGATCTCACTCGCTGGCGAGACGGAATGTGAAGGGGGCCTCGCGGAGCCCAGCAAGGGGTTCTCTTGAGAGAGGTGGCCCCACAGGTAGAGGCTGAGCACAGGAGACTGGACCAAGGCCGGGCCCAGTCAGCTTCACGGCAGAACGGGGGGAAAGAAAGCGCCGTCGGCAGCTCTGCGGTCACAGGGAGAACGTACGTGGTCCATGATCTGCTGGAGTCCCTGGCTGAAAGGGCGCCGCCCAATCCCTGCAGTATTTTCCTCGATGGGGAAGGAGAGGTGTCCAATGTTGGGTGCCATCCCATACTGCTTCACCATTGAGTAGGCTATCTTGGTTACTTTTCTCAGGTCATCTTGGGCCCCTGGGCATGCAAAGGACAAAAGACAATCCGCATCTGGATCACCACTGGACCTGATGAGGTCTCCCCCCTCTTCTCCCACAGCCAACTGCCCAAGCAAACTGCAAAACCAGCGGCTTAACTGGCTGAGCAGTGACAATCACCTCCAACCGTGAGAAACGTGCGGCCCAACGGAAGTCTGAGCTGCCCAGGAAGGCAGGCGCAAACACCCCTCTCTCCCCTGTGGGGCTGTGGCTCAGTGGGAGAGCCTCTGCTTCACACACCAAAGGTCCCCCCCTCCCCCCCGCTCAATCCCCGACATCTCCAGTTAAAAAGGACCATGCAGTAGATTGGATCGCGGAAGGTAAGCAGGGTTGGCCCTGGCTAGTCGTTAGATGGGAGACCTCCAAGGATGTCCACGGTCGCGACGCAGAGGCAGGCCACGGGAAACCACCTCTGAACGTCTCTGGCCTTGAAAACCCTACTGGGTCGCCCTAAGTCAGCTGTGACTTGATGGCAAAAAAAAAAAAAAGTGGGGGTAGGTGATGTGAAAGACCCTTTTCTCCTTAAGACCCGGGGTCTGACTCAGGATAAGTCGGGATCATGTGTTCATGGGAGGCTTCCTCGGGCTCTCTTCACAGCCTCGCTCGGCCTGTCTGCAGAAAGGCCTTTCCTCACCTGTAGTCACCTTGTTGAACGTGATCGCCTCCGACACCCTTCCTCCCAAGGCCATGCACATCCGTTCGAAGAGCTGCTCCTTGGTGAAGAGGTACTGGTCCCTGGGCAGGATCTGAGCAAAGCCCAGGGCAGCATTGGTGCGAGGCGCTATGGAGACCTGCAGCAACAGGAGGCGCGTCACACACAGAAGGACCGCTTAGCGTGGGAAAGCTACACGGTCCTCAGCCCAGGTTCCCACAACCCGAGCCAGGGCGGGCAGCAAATGTACCTTCATCGCGGCCTCTGTGTGCTCCAGCAGCCAGCCCACGAGGGCATGGCCGGACTCATGAAACGCCACCACCCTCCGCTCCTCCTGGGACAGAATCTTGCTCTTTTTGGCAGTTCCTTGAGACAAAAAAGACACAAACCTTCAGCCGCTTCTGCTTCCCAGGACTTGGACTCTGCCCCTTCATGCTGAGGGCTAAGAAAGCTTACAGTTCCAACAAGAGTGAGATTTGAGTCTGGTAGCACCTTAGAGACCAACAAGGTTTTGGGGGCGGCGGGCTTTTGAGAGTCCAGGCTCCCTTCATCGAATACAGGTAGGAATGGCGATCTTGGAGTCCTTCTATCCCAGAGAGAAAGTGGGAGGTTTCTAATAACTCTCCCTTGCATGGAAAATAAGGGCTCCTTCTGGAAACAGCACAAGCCCAAATGCCCACTTCTGGTTTTGCACAGACTCTTAAACCTTGACTTACACAAGCAGATGTGTACACTGGCAAAAACATCCACACAAAACATTACGGCGAGAGTGCAGCCCCTTTAAATATTTCCCGGAAGGAGGCAGCAGCTGAACCACATGGGCTTGGCTCTCCTCCCACAAATGGATCCCCTTTCAAAAACTCATATGAAAAGTCTGTCTGCCACCTGCTCGGAGAGCAACTGTCAGGGCAACTGTGGATTGGACGGCTGGGCACAAAGCATGACCCAGAATGCCTGGGCAGAGTAGGCCACTCTTGTCTGGGGTACGTAAAAGGTCTTCCCAGGTGCCTGACTGTGCATCAGACAACTGTATATCGACTCTGGGCCTACATTGAAGTAGGCCTGATTCACGACG